TTCAAGTTCCAGGCAGTCTGGGATTCCCTCTCCCCTCGCACACACTTAACCCTGCTTTTGCCTGTTAAGAGGGATCTGAGTGAAATCAGCCTTGCGCGCTTGGGGACACCGACTGGCTGAGCTTGGGGGCGAAGAACCAACTCTTGGTCTCCATCTGGCTTCCCTCCTGCTTTCTCCTTAATAAACTGGAGCATGTGGGGAAGATGCTAGAAGATGCTTCTTTGCAAGGCTTTTTGGTTTCCTTAACCCACTGGACTCTTGCTCCCCTGAAGGAGTCCTCCCTAGGGATGACCAGCCTGCTGGTCTCAGGATGACGGGTGCCCTTTGTGGGGCTCCTTTTCAGGGCCACCTTGGGGGAGTTTAGGGCTCAGCTCTCACCCTTGGGCTCAGGGAGGGTGGGGGCACTGGGAAGAAGCCAGCTGGTATATTCCAGCCCACTCCCAACTGTCTGCAGATGCTCAGCCTGTCTCCTTCCTTCCAGAGTCCCAGTGTCTGTAATATGTAAATAGCACCCACTGACCAATAAACTCTGAGAAGTGATTTGCGTGCCCAGCGGATTGCCAAACATCTGAGCCCACCTCTCCTCTGAGCCCTCACACACCCCTTGGCCTGAGTTACCCATTCTGTCTGCTTACCAAGGCGTCCTCAGCTCTCATGAGCTACAGGGAAACTGAGCCATGAGAGCTTGACATGCTGTCATTCACCCCAGAAGTAGGCACTGAGCTCCTACCATGCACTAGCTGGGGGTTCTATGGTGGATGTAGGAAGAGATGACAGCAATGACACACACACTCTCACACATGCTCACTCACATGTACACATACTTACACATGCTTACTCACACACTCACACATACACTCACACATGCTCACTCCCATAGGTGCACACACCCATGCATGCACACCCATGCATGCACACACATGATCTCATTCTTGTGCCAGGCAGAATGCGTTGACCGCTTGAGGCCAGCATTAGTATGTTTTCCGGTCACACGAGAGTCACACAACCCTCCCAAAGAGTCCTTGGGGTCTCAGATATTTTCTCTTCTTAACTAAGACACCTTCAAGAAGTAGGTGTCAGTAGCCATTCGCTTGGGAGACTGAAAAGACATGCCCCCAATCTCAGTTCTGATTCCTGGTTCCAGAACTGACACCCCAAAATTCCAGCCCTTGGAGGCAAATCTCTGGGTCCTCTTTCAGTGGGCTGATGGAGGAAAAGAGAGACCCTCAACTCCCACACCACGTGGTCCAGACTGACTGCAGCCAGCTGCCTGGATTCAGATGGGACTTCACCACTTACTGGCTGTGCCATTAAGGCAAGTTGCTTAACCTCTCTGAGCTTCAGTGTATGCATTGCTAAAATTCAGATAACAGATAACAGTACCCCTCTCACGGGGATGATGTTCAGAATTAAATACTTTAAAACATGTAGTTTTCTTGGAAGTGTTATTACTGAAACTCATATCAGAGATGCCATCATCCCCTGGTCCCATCACAGGGCTTCCTGGGAAGGTCTGGGGGCTGGAGCACCAGAGAGGCAGTCGCAGGCACTCACGCCTGTGACTGCAGTCAATTTGATGTGTATCTATAGCCCTGAAAATGCTGTTAACCTTTGCCACGGTCATTCTCTGGAATCTCCAGAAGAAATCCAAGATGGCAAATTAGGAGACATTGTGAAATGGGTCAGCAGCAGCCCACTCCACAGGATTTAAATATAAATGCATATTTAGATATGAGCACTTTATCTAGAATTGATAAAATAAAATATTCAAAATGGAGGACCAGTGCATTAAAATGTAATCATTAGAAGTTTTAAATCATCTTAATTGATGTCTGAGAAGCAAAGCCTTGTGTCTGGGGTGGGAGTGTGGAGTAAAGACTGAATTGGCTACAGCACCCCATACGTTCAACTTGGGGACGTCTGCATGGTAGTATTATGGGTGGTCTTTATCTTGTTTTTCCGCTTTTCTGTCTTTTTGACGTTTTCTACAATGAGCATGGCTTTCTCTTATTACCAAAACCCAGACATTTTATAAAATAAAAAAGCCAATTCTGACCTGTCCCTCCCTCATTTTCAGTCATCGATTCTTCCTTTGCAATGTCTTTCTCATTGTTTTCAATTTTCTGTCTCAGCTCTTTGCCAGGCAGAAAATGTCCCACCAGCCACCTCTGGCTTCCCAGACAGCCCTCCTTGCCCACTGCCTGGGGCCACCTGCCCACAGTGAGCCAGCCCAGGATCACATTCCCCTCCCGACAACCTGGGGTTACCAGTATCACTGTGCCCAACTCACAGATGGAAACAGTGAGGCTCAGAGAGGGTAAGTGACTTGCCCAAGTCATTCAGCTAGCAGGTGGTAGCGCTGCGACTTGAACCATTTCACACCAAAGCCCTTAGCCATCCTGGGAGATGAAGCATTCCAGCCCATGGGGCGTAGTTGGAAAGATGCCAAATTTGGCCTGCTGCTTCCCTTTCAGGGTTTGTCTGGGTGCTGCCCTTCAGTGTCCTGGCCTCATGACTCACATCCCAGTCGTCTCGAGTGTCATCATCACAGTATCTGGTGGGCAATGAGGATGTGCAAAGCCCCAGAGGGAATGAATTCATAATCCACTTACTCACTGTGAGCAATGGGGACCCGGCCATGAATGAGAGACAAGTTCCCTGCTCTCCGGAGCTCACACTGTACCGAGAGCAGATGAATCAAAAGGAACACAGATGAGGAGCAGGGAAACATCGGATGTGCTGAGTGCTGTGCGTCCAGGCAGAATTCCAACAGGGCCTCTATTTCAGGGGGTGACCAGAAAGGCCCCTCTGAGGAAGGGACAGGAGGGTCCCATGCCAAGTTTGGGACCTGGGATGGTCAGGTTTACGTGTTGGCTCAGCCAGGCTGTCGTCTCGGTGATTCAATCAAATGCTTACCTGGGTGTTGCTGTGAAGGTATTTGTGGATATGGTTAACCTGTGTCAGACTTCCGGTAACGAAGACCACCACCTCCCGTAATGTGTGGGCCGCACCCACTCAGCTCAAAGACTTTGGGAGAAAAACTGAGGTTTCCGCGAGGAAGGAGGAAGTCTGCCTCTGGACAGCAGTGTGGGCTCCTGGTGCTTCCAGCCCTGCTCCATGAACACAGGCTCGCCGGGCCCACAATCGTGGGAGTCAATTCCCTAAAACAAGTTCCTTAGATACGTAAAGCCTCCTATTGGGTCCGTCTCTCCATACAAGATGGAAACTTCGTCTGAGTCCTGGGACTCTATTGTCCGAAGGAGCCGTAGGAGTTACTAACACGTGGACTGCGCTAGTGTGCTTCCTTCTTAATGAGGGTTTGTACAGCTGGGAAACTGCAAGGCAGGTAACAATCGGTTAACTACGGTGCTTGTGGCCATTTCTATTTAAAAGCCAGGCTGGGCATCCTGCCCTCCACAGCACCATGGCACTTTTTCCTGTGGCAAAATGTGATTAAATATAAACCATTTCAGGTTAGACCACCATTTCCAGAAACATAATTTCCTAAGTTGTGGACTGCCAGTACTTGTTGGATTCTACTTTTTAACCAAGAGCTATTTTGTAAACAAGGTCTGAAAAAACTTTATAAGCATGACGCTGGTAGATTTAAACCAGTGGTTTCAACTGTAGCTGCACATTCGCCGGGGTAGGTTGGTTTGAGAGGACCCAATCCAATCCAGACAACTGAGCCCGTCACATGACAGCCTCACCAGAAAGTTGGAGATGAAGGCAGTGCTGACCTCCCTTCTACATCCATTTGTTGAAAGAGCAAAGGAGCGACAGAAAGCATATTCAAGTACCAAGAGTTATGCTGTTTTCATTAATTTATTATAATTAGAATAAGGCCCTTTACAAATTACAGCTTCATTGTGATGTAACTCACATACTATACATTTCACTGACATGAAGTGTGCGGTTCACAGCTTTTGGTCTTCCACCACTACTATAGGATGAGAAGGCCCCTCTGGCACCTGAGAGGGTATTGTCAGACCTCGACGGGGCAGGAGTTAACTGGGACTAGCACCACAAACTTCCAGCTGAGAAAGGGCTGGTGGCAGCAGCTGACAGGCGGGGGCTGGGCCACCTGGGCAGGGGGTTCGGGAGAATCGTTTCACTCCCTTAGGATGGAGTGAAGGCTGGCAGCCTGTCCTGAGAGGCCTCGGCACCAGTCAGAACCCGCTTCCTGACTCCCGAGCACCCTGGCCCACGTTCCTTCCCATGTTCTCTTACTCTGGCACCAGGAGGGCCCCTTTACTTTCAAGGCAAGATGTTGGGGATGGGGGGCCCTGGGGCCTAGGGCACCCATCCAGCCCTGTGGGATGGAGAAAGGTCAGAGCTTGGGGACCTAATCCTGCCTTGTGGAAACCTGCCCTCAGTGCTATGGCTCCAGCTGGCCATTCTGCTGCCCAACGAGAAAGGAGGGTGGGATCCTACAGGCCAGAGCACAGTAGTTGGTTGAGCAAATAGTGATCTCTCAGGATGGGAGACAGACTCGGCCCTGCCCAGGCGCCTCAACAAAGGAAATGGGCCAGAGTCAGGAGTGCTTTCCCTTCTGGCTGACACATCCAGGTGGAGACAGGCGCACCTGCAGCAGCAGAGGGAAGGCAGGGCCGGCGAACACTGACTCACTGGACGTGCCAATTGGGACTTGAATCTCTCCGTCCCTCCCTTGCTCTCCAGCAGGGGCGGGGAACTTTTTTAATGCCAAGGGCCATCTGGATATCTATAACATCATTTTTGGGCCATACAAAATTATCAAAAACTAGCCTGCTATACTTGGTTAAACATTTACTTAACTCACCCCTAATGCCCTGGCAGGGCCAGAGCCAGTGGTCGGCAAACCGCGGCTCGGCAAACCGTGGCTCGTGAGCCACATGCAGCTCTTTGGCCCCTTGAGTGTGGCTCTTCCACAAAATACCGACTTCTGCGCATGGGCCATGAAGTTTCAATCGCACTATACGAGTGGCTCATGAGCCGCGGTTTGCCAAGCACGGGGCCAGACCAAATGATTTCTCGGGACTTCTACGGCCTGTGGGCCAGATGTTCCCCACCCCTGCTCTACAGCAAGTCCAGTGAGCAGAAGGCACTGCCAGTCCACAAGCAAGGGTGTAGGGGTGTCTTCTGAGTGAAGCTGGGGGCTCCAACATGACCCCAGCAAACAAGGAGTCTGGGCCCCCCAGGGACACAGGGCGGAGTGTTCTCGCCTTTCTGCACTGTCCTGGAGCCAAGTCCAAGCTGTTCTGCCAAAACATCCTCTCCTCTCACCTCCACAGGCTTCACTGGAGAACTACCACCCTGCCCTCCGGCCCGGCCCTCAGTCAGGAGTCAAGAATTCGGGGGCTGACGCCCAAGCCACAGGTCAAGGAACCATTCTCTCACCAATGCACAGGAAGGGTTTTCAACTTTTGCTCTTATAAAGAGCACAGCGAAGGCTAGAAATCTGTTCAGAGAGCCTCAGTGGCAAATTGAGTTCTGCCGCTCATCCAGGTTTCCTGGTGAGCCGGGGCTCCCTCCATCAAATTACAGGCTTGAGGGAGATGCTTCTTCCGGGCCTGGAATCCTGCTCTGGATCGAGTGAAGAATGCTGGACATCAATGAAGTGAAAACACAGATCGCTTGACAAGGGAAGGAAGCCAGCCAGTGGCTGACTGGGGAAAACTCACTGGCAGATAAAGATGGATAAAGTGTGTGAGCGAGTGAATGCATTTGTGCGGGTGTACATTTGTGTGAGTGTGGACTCACATACACACATTATCTGTACACACGTGCACACACACTCACGCCCACACTCACGCCCTGTTCTGGTCACTGGGAGGGCTGGATCTGGACACCTGGAGCAGGAGCACCCCAGCACCCAGACCGTGGTTTCTAAATACCATCTTCCTCTAACAGTGACCAGGATTCCTTGGAGAGACAGCCGATTCCAGTCTGAGCAGGGAAAATACCAGATGCTTCTGGAACATCTTGACACATCAGATGGCTGGGAAGCCATCAGGAGCCTGGGCACCATCACTGCCCAGAGAGCCAGCTGGACGGGGCGTACTGAGAGCAACAGATTACACCCTGTTGAAAAAAATTGTAAATCATGAGTTCCTACTCAGACAAACAAGTGAAAGTTTGGGGAAGCATGAGATGTTTATGTAGCTTTCAAGGACTTTTCTAGAAAATACTTATTTATAATAAAGAGGGAAAGTCCCTTTGCAGGGGAGAGGCCTAGGAGACATCATGTTAATTAAACAATCAGTGTTCACAGGGCCAGTAATGAGACAAATTAAAGATTTACCCCATGCACAGAGAGGCACAGCTCCGCTTCCTGCCATTCCTACCCAACTGGAATCTCATCTCCAGGAGACACCAGACCTGGTGTGAAACCCAGTGCCAAGTTGGAGCACATGGGAACAGATGAGAGCGTTGCAGAGACTAAAGGAGGGGGATCGAAGCTGTGGGTGACAATCCTGCGCCAGACCCTCTGCTCCCCAGCCAGGCTGGGACGGGCTCAGATGGACTGTGTCTCTTTCTGAATCTGACTCACATTAAGGGTTGTGGAAGGCCTGTGTCTGAAGGGGACACAAGCCAACGTGCTGGGCTGTCCCCCACCCTCCACCGCATTTCCTGCACACGGGCAGTGCTCTCTGCGGGGCACTCCCTCGCCTTTGCATGGAGCTGCTGTCTCATCCGTGTGTCCCTGGGTGTGAAGGCTGGTCCTTCCACTCCTCACCTCTGCTCATTTCTCTGCTGCTTCTCCTGATCTGAGTAACCCCCCTCCCCGCCTCCCCATCCCCACATACCGTATGTGGCACATTCTGCTGCCTGGAGTTTCACCCCAGAGGGGTCCCAGGGCTGGGGGAACGATGAGGATTTCCCAGGGAGAGGGTCATCGAAGAGGAACCCCTAGGGCCATGGGTCTGAGCAAGGCCCCAGGAGACAGGCATGTCCCTTGTACCCTGAGCATCCACAGGAGGTCCCTGACCCAGTCCATCCACTGCCCACACCTCCAGTAAATGCTGCATTACAGAAGCCAGGGTGAGAACACCCTTGGGCCAGGGCGTCCCTCCACACACTTCTCCCTTCTGCCCTTTTATGTTACTCTACTGTCACCCCCACATAAGGATAGGAAGCCAGATGGGCCCTGAGGGTGCCTGGCCTTGCTGGGGAAATGGAGGCCTTTATTTTATTTTATTAAATATATTTTTATTGATTTCAGAGAGGGAGGAGGAGAGATAGAAACATGAATGATGGGAAAGAATCACGGATCGGCTGCCTCCTGCACGCCCCCCTATTGGGGATCAAGCCTGCAACTCGGGCATGTGCCCTTGACCGGAATCAAACCAGGGACCCTTCAGACCGCAGGCCAATGCACTATCCACTGAGCCAAACCAACTAGGGTGAAATGGTAGCCTTTAGTGAATCCCCCTCCCTCTCTTTTCCTCACACCAACTCCTGCACCAGCAGGCCCTACCTCCACCCAGTAGGTGCCAGTTGCACCCCCTCCCCAATGTGACAAACAAAAATGTCTTCAGACATTGACCAATGTCCTATGGGAGGAAGAGAGCCCACCCTTGTCCACAGTTACCCACAAAGCTTCAGCTCTGTGGCTTATTGGCAAAATGACTCCACCACCTGAGTGGGAGGCGGTGGGGGCTGGAGCCTGGGAGCTCCAGGCATCCAGACAAGTCCCGTGGGCCTGTGGGGGCCTGGTCCCAGCTGGCTGGTGAGAGAAGCATGAGAAGAAAGCAAACTTCATACACAAGAGGTCTATCTGCAGGGTTTGTGATAAACTCCAGCAGAGCCCAAATACAGGCTTTCCTTGTCATCAGTAGCCCACAGCCTGACTCAGCTACGCCCACAGCACTGAGACCATTCTTGAAAACCCCAATCACAGACGAGGTGAAAGCTGGAGGAAGTGAGTGAAAGGGAGCTGGTTGGCTGTGATAAGAGAGGGGGTTCAGGGGGTTCCGGGGCTGCCCCAGGCCTGTGGCCAGCATGAGAGAGGCTGCTGCTTGTCCCCCCCCAAAAGGGACCCCGGCTCTGGGGTTCAGATCCGCTCAGGGTTCAGGCAGTGGTGACGCGTGGCTTGTGAGCAGAGGGGTCAGAGGGATGGTGCACAGGAACCAAGCTGGCCATCAGACCTCCGGCCACACTCCAGTCCACATCAGTGGCCCTTCTCCGTGGGCCCTTCCGCCACCCAGCTCTCCCAATCTTTCTCTCTGAGAAAACAGGGAGTTGGTGACAAGATGGAGAACAAATTCAGGTTTTGTGGGGCCTACAGCTTATGTAATTTGGGAGGATCTTTTCAAGAAAAGCAATACAAAATCACAGATACCAGACGGCACAACGGTGAATGCTTAGCTACTGGTCTCTGGGTGCCCGGAGGATGATTTGATGATCACATGATGACTGACTTGGGAAACTGGAATTGTTCTGCCCAGAGGCTGCGACACCAGCCACAGACCTCTCCCACTGTCCTGGGCCAAATCGGCAATAGTCTACCTTTCCTTGAGCTTTTTGCTCACTCCTTTCATCACATGCTAATCCTATTTTTTAAGCCCCATAAGACAATATTTTCCTTATAGTTTCAGTTTTTAGACTACATACACATTTACCACTTTCTCTGCTATCCTTTCCTTCTGCATCTCAGGTCTTCCATCTGGGATCACTTTCCCTTTGACAAAAGTATAGTCTTTAAAACTTCTTTTAGTGCTTGTCTACTGGTGGCAAACTTTTCTCTTTTATGTGCTTTACTTTTTTAAAAAAAGTGTAAATTGAAGAACGACAGAGATAAGTTGCAACCATAGCACTCCTTCTTAAAACGTGAGTGCCCTCAAAAACACAAGGACGCCAGGCTCTTCCTCCCAGGAGGCCCACACTATGCACATGCAACTCATCCATGTGACTGCGGGAGCGACAATGTGTTCACTTCCATGGCTGTTCTGTATCCTGTGGAATGAGTCGACCGTGAAGAGCTGTCCTTTCTGCCCTGGTGGGTGTACTCAATGGTTAGAGCACCAGCCCACGCACTGAAGGGTCACAGGTTTGATCCCCAGTCAAGGGCACGCACCTGGAATGCAGGTTTGTTCCCAGCCCACTTCTGGCGCGTGAGGGAGGCAATCAATCGATGTGTCTCTCTCGCATTGGTGCTTCTCTCTCTCTCCTCCCTCCTTCCACTCTAAAAAATCAATGGAAAAAATATCAAAATATCTGGTGAGGCTTAACAACAACAACAAAAAAGAGCTGCTCATTCTGCTAGTGATGGGCATCTGAGGATTTCCCGTTGGGGCTCACAATCCGCTGCTGGGGCCGTCCCGCGTGTCTTCAGAAGCACACGTGCCGTGTTCTTTTGGACAGAGCCCGGGAGGCTGTTAGACAATCGTGTGCATGTGCTCACTTCGGCAGAAGGCGCCTCACTGTTTCCTCAGTGGTTTTATCAATTCCCACCCTCCCTTTAAGGCAGCGGTTCTCAACCTGTGGGTCGCTACCCCTTTAAATACATCCTGCATATCAGGTATTTACATTACGATTCACAGTAGCAAAATTACAGTTATGAAGTAGCAACGAAAATAATTTTATGGTTGGGGGTCACCACAACATGAGGAACTGTATTAAAGGGTCGTGGCATTGGGAAGGTTGAGAAGCACTGCAAGGCAGAGGAGGCCCCCGAGTTCACCTACCTCAGTATCGTAAGTCTTTTAAATCTTAGCCATTCGGAAAGTGTCTCGTGGTAGTTTTGATTTGATCAGTGAGGTTGAGCCACCTTTTCAGATATTTATTGACCATTTTGAGATCTTTTCGTGTTACATGTTTGTTCATGTGTTCATGCCTTTTGGGAGGTGAAGTAGGGGACAAAAATTAATTAACCATTAAATAATTCAGCAGTAACGAATGAGAGTTACAATCCTCATTTCTGAAAATGACCAGGACGGCTTTCCCTCCTCCATCTCCAGTCCTTCTTTTGTGGGCTTCCTGGCAGCACGCCTGTGCTTGGTCCATCTACACATGGAGCTGTGTATCTGTATTCCTTACAGGTAATAAAAACCTGATTACCTCCCATAAATAAGTCCTTTATTGGCTAAAAGGATAGCAAATATCCATCCCACTCTGGCTTGATTTTCTGTCCTCGTTTACTAATGCTATCTCTGATGAACCAAAGTTCTCAATCAGAATGAACGCCAATTTGCCAGTCTTTTCCTTTATAGTCAGTACTTTTTTTAAAAAAATCCTCATCTGAGGAGTGAGGATATTTTTTCCATTGATTTTTTAAGAGAGAGTGGAAGGGAGTGGGGAAGGGGAAAAGAGAGAGAAACACCTACGTGAGAGAGATACATCAATTGGTTGCCTCCTGCTCATGCCCGGACTGGGACTAGGAATCGAACCTGCAACCCTTCAGTCTGTGGGCCGATACTCCAGCCACTGAGCAAAACTGGCCAGGTCTATAGTCAGTCCTTCTGCATTCAGTTTAAAACACCTTTGCTAACTCCAAGGCCATGAAGAAATCTTAGTTTCTCCTAAAAAATTTGTTTCCTTTCACAGTTTGTTCTGTAACTGATTTTGTGTAACTTATGAGACGGGGATTCATTATTGTTCCCTTTACGAATATCTAGTTGACCTGGAACCACTTATTAACAACAGTGCCTTTCCTCACTGAGCTGCAGTGTCTCCTGCATCGCCCACCAGAAAGCTGCATGAGGGGGTCTGTTTTCAGGCTCCGTATCCTGCCCATTGCCCTCTGGACAGAATGAATCTCACACTAACACTGCTTTGCTTTCTAGGAGCACGTCAGTCCTCCAAAGTCGTCTAAAGTCTTCGACACCATCTCCACTATTCTTGGCCTTTTGCATTTTTCAAATACATTACAGAATAAGTATGTCAATTTCTAGAAAAATTGGTGCTTGAATTTCGGTTGGAATAGCACTGAATCCACCATTTAGGGAAGAATTGATCTTTTTATAATATTAAGGCTTGCAATCCACAAACATGCCCTACACTTACATTTCTTAGGTTTTCTTCACTTTTCTTCAATAATATTTCACAGCTTTCTGTCTCAGCTATCTTTTGTTAGATTATTT